CAGGTCAGAGCCACACAGAGTTGTGGCTTCAACTCAAGTGTCATATAAAAAGATACAGAAATTATAATATGATCTCAGCATTCAGAAATTTGCAGTCTTAATGTACAGTGATGAGAAACTGTTATTTTATGATCTTTTCATTAAAAGCTTGATTGAAAAATTCTCTCTCTTGCTCTGGAGTTCACCGTGTTCCTCCAGCCGCCCGTGTGCCCGTGCTGCTCCGCACAGCATCCCGCGGTTACTGTGACCGGGGCTGCGCTGCAGACCCCCTGCACACCTGCACGCGCGGGGCTGCGCTCGCGGCCCCGGGCAGCCAAGGTGCGGGCCGCAGATAAGGGAGGCGTCGGGATTTCACCTTCCCGCGCGTGCCCCCGAGCGAGGGGAGGCTGTTTGTGAAAGCTGCTCCTGTGGATCTCTGCTCAGGGCCTAACCAAGTGTGAAGGGTGTTTCTCAGAGATAGGAGATGGTGGATGGACCAGCCGATCCTCTCAGTCTCCTTGGGCTCTAACTGCCTACGCACACCTTGAGGAGAAGAGAAGCACCTCAAGTAGAAAAGAATCTCCTAAATGAAATTAAGATTCTCCGTCCATGTGGCAGTCAAGTAGGTAAAAGGGAAAATACTTCCAGAGGAAGTGACAAGTGGTGACACTTCAGTTTTCAAGCTCTCAGATGTTTAGAATCCAGACATTTTTCTTGGGCAGGTTAAATGTGATCCTAGCAAAATAAACAGAAGTTTCCTTGGTCTGGCTTCTTAATAATATTTTCTGGTTCTCACCACCTTTTTGGATCTAAGAATCCTTCAGCTAAATATAATATACATTTAGCAGAGCAAAATTAAGTACCTTCAATACAGGGCAAAAGCCAAGCCTAGTATTTTGCAATGATCCCCTTTGTCACCTACTCAGCACAACAGTTTTGCAGGTTGTCCCAGAGCCTGGTGCAATCCCTTAATATGCAGGAGAATAACCCTGGCTTTGAATTCACATATATATGTATTTTAACACAATGCTGACTGTATTTTAAAATGACGGACTGAAAGAGCTTCAAGTTTACACAGTTTTCTGACAGGTTGCAAAGTCAGCAGTACTGGTAAGAAAACCATTTTTATTTGTCCTTGGAGATGTGTTTTACCCAGCAAGGTTAAAGAGAAGGACAAAAATGAACAGCAAAACAGATGAAGAGCTACAGAAAATCGACGGCTGGTTTTCAGCAGTTCAGCTGTGGTAATGAGTCTGTACTCTTCTCCCAGCTACCAACATCCTCCTCTCTTTTTTTCCCCTTCTTCTGAAGTTTTTGCTTACTGGCACCCATTCCTCTGTGGCATGAGTGGTTTCCAGCATAGTTAATGCATTGCGTGTTCTGTTTTACTTTCTTTGCCGTGGTCAGCTCCTTTTCATCTCACAAGATCCTGTGACAACTATTCAAAACGCTTCATGCAATAACTCACAACCGAAACGCAACTGCCCCTGTGATGGGACACTGAAATACGCACAACTGAACAACAGCTCAAGACGTAGAGGATACCAGTTATGTCTCAAAAACCCTGGAATTTGTACTTGCTTTCCTCTGCTTTCATTACCTCCATTTCTTCAAGGGACTTTTCTCCCAAAATCAAACCTTCTTTCTCTCCACTACCTCTTGAAGAGCAAACACCAGATCAAATCTTTGAATAATATGTTTGTGTTTTGCTTTTTTGAGGAAATATACTTTCATCAAAATTGGAACTTTCTTATGGTAACAAAACTTTAATATTTTTCCTAAATGAAATTTAGGAATGAAATTTAGTTTCAGCCACTGCTGAAAACCCGTTTTGATGCTGTTGAACAGATACTGATGCAAAATGCTTGTTTCTTTAGAATTCTGATTACAGAAATCACACCAAGAAGTTAAAAAGGATAAATATTTTAAAAAAGAATAACTTGAGGTCAGTATAAGCCAGAAGACTAACACCTCATTTTGTAAGTTATTTCTAAAATATGCCTTCATCTTTTTTTTGGATTGAAAAAAAACTTTGAAGTACTGGAGCTTTTATCTGCAAGTAATGCCAAATTTTCCACAACTCTAAGAATGTTGAAGCTGTTACCAACTATAAACTTTGCACCCCTATCTGGGTTTTGTTCGGCTGAATGTACTAGAAAAATTGCCCAGGTTAAGCTGATTTTGTGTGCACTTGTGCAAAGCCTGATGTACATCAAGTATAGTGTGACCTGGCTTAAATCAGTAAGAGCTAAACCTCATTGCTCTTTGTCTATGAAGTATTTCTTAAAGTGCTACAGGAATAAAAATCTAGGCATGCCATTTTTCTCATTTTCCTCTCTTCTGAGAGGAAAATAAATTATAAATAAATTACATAAACTCTCTCAGAGCCTTCTCAGAGAACGACGTGTGGGAAATACCTACGAAAAGCCATTCTCCTGCTGGGTAGGAGGCAGAGGCCGAGCTCCTCGAGCAGCCGGGAAGCTGCGCCCGGAGACGCCTGGCTCCCGGGGACAAGAGCTGTTGGGTCTCCTCCTCCTCCTGCATGGTGGATATACAGTCTGAAGCTGCCCGCCGGGGTAAAATTCAAATAACGCAGGGCTTGCAGCCATGGGGAGCTTCGCCCCAACTGCTGAAGCACTGCTGCTTTCATCTGTCTCTACACCTGCATATCATTGTCCGCCTGGAGTCACAGTTTGCTCCTGGGAATCTCTGTGCTCAATCCCTTACCAGGGGCCTCCCATAGCATTTGAGCACTCACCTTGATGCCCACCCTGAGGTACCTCTGTTCCAAAGGCTGGGACAGAGGGCCGGAAATACCCTGGAGTTTTGCTATTTGGGCCAGAAAAACTTCCCTCTGCACTGCTCTAGGAGCTGCTCTTGCCTCCATTTGGCAGTTTCCTCCCTCCTATAGGTCACCACACCACATCTTCATTCTTTCCCTTCATGGCTCCGTAGCACTGATCTGTTTGTTTTTCTGTTGTTTTTTCTTTCCTCTGCAGCTGTGCACTATGATGAACACTATTGGAAAGTGCTGCAGAGCAAGGGCTGAATCCATATGTTTCAGCTCGGTAGGTTGAGCCAGTTCTAAGAGAGCACGATCCCCCTGCAATTACAGTGCATCCACAGCCCCAGTACTACACAGTGAAAAGCATCCATCATACTGTCTTCTGCTGTTCCAGGTGCTGAGAAGAGAGGCCAATGTTGCTGGTATGTATCAGCCTAGGGGATGATTGATAGTCCTGCCTATTTCCTTTGCTTTTTGCCTTCTCAACATTTTGCCCCATCCCTTCGGTTTCTTGCTAACTTACAGAGAAGAGCACTGGGAGAAGAGGAATGTTACTGGACTCTCAGCAGAATGGAGTACATTTTTGCAGAATTGGGCCATGGTCAGCAAATACCTAATTACTTCTCCTTTTCTTTGCATTCACCATCCTCTTGCACACAATTACTTATATATATATATAAAAAAATCCAACAGAACTGCACACCCCCCTCCTCTGGCTTCAAACTCTGCCTCCACGTTCAAGCCACAGAGTCATTTACTTCTGGTTAGAGAGTTTGGTTTCATACAAACCAGGGCTTGTCCTGACTGTAACTGGCCTGGCCACTGCAAGCAGCACTGTCTGGATGGACAGAGATAACCACGGCGCAGTGAAGAGGGTCACATCGCCGTGATGTCCCTTTCCAGCCCCCTGGGCAGCCCAGCACCACGCAGGCGACAAACGCGCAGAACCGAGTCCCGGCTTCCAGGCTTGTGGGCATGGAGGCTCTCACTGTCCTGCTGCCTGGCTGCAGCCTCCTGCCAACTCCAGCTAGTCCCTCGCCACAACAGCAGCCAAAGGCTGGCCAGGGAAGATTGCACAACCAGCCCTTGATCTGGATTTTCCACTGCTCAGCCAGCGAACCCCTCCTTTTTTCCAGCGCAGCTGTTTTCCATCTCTGCTCAGGAAACATGCCCTGCTTTTGATTCCTGGGTCCTGCGTTATGAAGCAATCCCGGGCAGGCTGGCTGGGTGGAACGGTCCCAGTGGCTGTGGGATAGCTCCAGATTCGGAAAGCAGCACAGAACAAAGGGGAGCTTTGCCAAGGCTCAGGTGAGCCTGGGGTCAGCACGCAGACGGG